ACTGCTATTATTATTTTGAAAACAATACTGTCCTTAATGTACTTCAAGGGATCGCAGTCCGATATACGCCGCCATTATTTAATTACTTAATATTATTTGTAATTCATATTTTGTCTGAGATTCACAATTTTTTTATTTTTTTTTTTCGTGAATTTTCCTAACCCGGACTAAGCAATACACTTACAATATCAAGGAAATCAGAATTTAAAATAGCATTCACTGGCCCGGGGGACGTATGCCGGTATTCTCGCGCGTACATGCTTTCATCTGTACTGTCAGCAGAATGAATACAAACCACTAATGACGTTTCTCTTTTTCAATATAATCAGAACAAATGGCTACCTCTTTTGTAAACACAAATTAGAAAAATCTATTTTACTGTCGCGGAGACTGGCTTGAGCTCCGCATTCGCCGCCACTAAGCTAACGAATTACGTCGTGACCGATACGGTTTGAACAATCACAGACGGTCAGAGGCCACACAGAGGGCACACAACTATACGTAATATCTCGCATCACGCGTAGTAGCCCAATTCACTCGTTTGATTCATCACTGAACCGACCTTATTCTGAATGGCGCTCACTCGCAACTCGCAACGGTGTTCGATTCGCGACGCGTTCTCATACGACATAGCGTGTAAAACACACGATTTGTACGAAATTCGAATACGCAACGCTTTTATTTAATATGTACGCCAAATTTTTTTTCACCTTTTTTGTTAATTTGAGTTTATTCAATTATTTATAAAACTGTGTACTTGTATATAACTTAATAATATTATTATTTACTGTTTATTTGTTCATTCGTTTCAAAGGATCATGGACTAGACTAGTTCTAGGAAATTATTTCCGTGATCCTCACTATAATCAATTTATATAAATATCTAAAATATATATATATTTAAAATTCAAATTATACACTTATTTACTATTTTTGTTATATATCAAATTAATTTGTATATTATTATCTGTATATATATGTTTTTTAGTGAAATAAACTTTATTCATTCATTCATTCATTCATTCATTCATTCATTCCATTCATTCATTCATTCAATGCTAGTCATGTCAAAGACAATACAATGCCTTTGGTCATGCTTTTATATACCTTTATTTTAATTTACATACAATCAGTTCCTCAGAAGGAGTACAAATATTAATCTGGCCATCCTGAATTAATGGCAATAATCTATCATGGGGCCCAAAGAACGGCTACATTTGTATTCATCGTTACTTACATTTCACGTCTCTGTACACGTTTTAATATAACTTATTATCGATCAATCAGCTTTGAATGACGGGTAATTGGATATTTTCTCATATCTTTCAGGTTGCTGATTCGTCTAAAGAGTCACGGATGAAATGTACACAATGCATTGAAAACAAAGAAAATGCGTGGAAAGGCTTTAGTAATTAGATAATGTTACTAGCATTTCGGATTTATGCTTGTCGAGTAGAATTACAATTGACGGGGCTGTCACACGCATACAATAAATATACTGTGTGAGCAAAATGCGTGATATTATTATGTACATGACACTTACTGAATCGTTTACCGAAAAATATCAGCAATTTGCAATTTTCTACAGAAACAAAAAGATAAAAATAACAGCTAGTGTATGCGAGTATTGTAGTTATAGTATAACTCAAGATGTGGAGCGTATGAAATTGAGTCGCAGGAATTTAGCGCAGTGGCTCTGAATGATCGAGGTCGGCGAAACCCGAATAAATTCTATCCCTGTCAATCAAAACGGCCACAAGCCAATCCGCGAGCGGATTGCTTGGCAACGTTGCTTGGCAACCATCTCGGCGAAAACAAGCACAGATTGATTGTACGAATCCCGGCGGTAATAACATTACGTTTACAAAGTGCACTGGCTTTATATAAATATGTTCATTAGCGCTGCCTTTGGGTTTCCGAGACAATATGCTAGTAACATATGCACTACGGGCGATGACGGCGATGACTGCGACGACAACAAATCTAGGTTGCAATACTAATACACCAGTTTCCTCAAACTCCTTCACCTTTGACAGTGTTTGATCGATGCCCTGAAGGTAGTGATTATGTTCATGTGACAGGTCGACTTTGTTTTATTTAGTCGATTATTGTCAAGTTCGCTTCCGATGAATACTATAGTACTGAGCAACCTGGCAAGCCGAGGAATCGACATGACAAATACAAATGAAATAAAACAAAGTGTAATAAAAATTTATCTATACGTTTTCCCTATCGGATAATTTGGCGCGGAAGGAAGCCGTAGTATAATGAGTTGACGGTGAACTAAATGGCTGACGAAAACGCTATCTGTGGGCAATCAAATTAGATAATGACGTCAATTCAGAAAGCGCCATATACGGTAACTTTTGGTTTGGTGTTGTGATACAGTTGTGGGCGCTATATACTTTTTTTTCCTGGTTTCGACACGGTTCGGTGGAGAAAGTTGTATTGCAAGGAGCTTCAATTTATTGTTCAAACTAATTCGTGATTATTTACATAATATTTTGACTCTTACAACTATGCTGCAATTCCCTTAATGTGTCTGCACCCAGGTATTATGACCTTAAAAAAGTACCATATTCAAGTACCAAGATGCGAGAAGCAAGTAGCAAAATGTGCCGTATGCGAGTGGTAAAAATATTACTTGCTGCAGGTGTTGAAATACATGCGAAATTGTACTACCAGTAGGTCTAGTGGTGTAATGGTACCACTGTGCTTGTAGGTCCATCATGCCAGTCTTCCTGACAGTCACGGTGTCTGACAAGATCAAGAAGGTTTGCAAGGGAGGAATGAAAGGCACTCCGTCAACCAGGTGATCAGGGTGGTACACTGGGATGTCCAGATAGGTGAACGACTGCATTGAGCATGTCTAGCTTAATTTCAACTGAGATTTTGTTTTTGAGTAATAGTTCAGACAAGGATTATTTCTGATGTGTAATCTTCTATGTATGGGTAGAAAATACCTGTCATGGAGGTGAACTACCACCGCCTGGGACATCTTTGTGAAAACTAGAGGAGTCAAAGCAGAGACGAAACTGAAGTACTTGGTTTGCTATGTTGTCTACTGCAAACCTCAAAATAGATTTCTGTTTGGATGTCTATAAACATGTGTAACAATGCATATACCGGTATATACCATAGTTGTTTGTCTTAACATACTGTCTGTTGTAGTGTTGCGTAACTATCCAGAAAAAGTCACTGTGGGTCAACAAACTCATTCAGAAGTCTACCACTATAGGGTCCATAGCACCAAGAGCCAAATGATTTCCAAGACTTTTCCAGACCTTTTCTTAAACTTTCTTGCACCACCCCCTCCAAAGACATTTTGACCCTTAATTCAGGCCAACATCATCACCAAAGCTCATCAAAGTTCTGAGGATATGGTAGTTCCCTGGAGAAAACAGGCCTTTCTAAAATGAATTAATAACTATGAAGAAATTTAAAGACTTTTCAAAGATTTTTTTTATTTTTCCTGTTTTAAAGACAACTCTTCATACTTGAAAAATCCAAAGACTTTCACAGGATTTCCCCAACACTGTAGACCCTGCACTAGTCTAGTCCTAGCTTTTCTTTGGAAAGGTCCAGCTTTGTAAATGTCACCCTGTGGTACTGCCTCAACAATTGACTCTGCAAGCAATGTAATGTGGTTCTTAAGAACTTGCCTCGTCACCTCAACATATGGCATAGCAACAATTGGCAACTGTTTGGATAATCAAGCTGACATCATACTTTCCGATGTATTTACTTCACTAGCTTCCAATATTTGTTGCCGAAAGGAACACAGAACTGGAAGCTTGTCTGCAGCAAACAGTATCACTTAGCCTTGGGATGCACCGAAATTGTCATCTAATTGTAAGGCCATCGCTGGCTGCTGAATTAAAATGACAATTTTTGGTTTCAAATACCCCAGGAAAGTGTTCTATGTTCTTCGTGTAATTAGGTGTTCGTATGCAAGGGATTTTTCCACACAAAAACGAATTCAGGCGGTTGGCTTAATATCAATGGATCATTTGACTGTGAAAGATTGGTCTAGTTAGTTTCATGCTGTATTTAAGATGTCGGTTTCGATATAGTAAATATCGCATTTATTTTATTATCACTTGTGCGCAAGCTGAAAATGAATGCACTATTGAAAGCGAACCATAGAAGACTTGTTTATGAATTTTGCGGGAGTTAAGTGGTTCAACACATTACAGCCCTCACCATTGCATGACAGCCAGATGTTGTACCGGTACTGTTTAAAATTTCTGATTAAACCCATAATTGTCTATGTTAATCTAACTATACTCGAGTAGTGGTAGTAATAGACTAATGAGGATATAAACTAGGAATTGATGGAAAGCTGTGATGTGCACATTTGTAGAAAATATGCATGATTAACCAGAAACTAAAGCAACTTGAGGAATTTAGTTCAAAGTAGGTACAAATACATGACACTATGGTATGCATGTCAATTTTTTCTTTGATAGAACAGAGCCTATTTTTGTTCCCATAAAAGCTACGTCATTAAACATTTCTCAGTAGTGCCTGGTCAAGTTTCACTCAAACCTGGTATGAACAACAGACATGACTTGTTTTGTGATTTGATTAAGAAAGTTTTCTTGCATTTACAAGGAAAGACCATCTACATGTACATACAACTAGTGTATTTGCTTATGTAAATCAAAGAGGTGTTTCTACCATCAAAATAAGTAATATTTTTAATTTAAGTTTCCAAATGCTGTTTTGGGATTTATAATATCCAAAGCCATGTATTTATTTATACCAACCAAGTTTTTCTCATTCATGGTCTAAGTCCATGGAGATTCTCTTGATTTACACTTTTACTATTCAACACTACATCACGCCATTCAACTGTTTTCATAAAAAAAAAAAATCAGTGAAAATCAATTTAAATTTATTGCCTCAGTTGAGTGAACAAATCCAAACTATACCACATGATAATTTTGGAGATTTTACAGATTTAAAAAATAAAAAATATTGAAATTGTCATTCTCAAAAAGAGAATTTATAAAATGTAAGATTTCTTTTTCTCCTCGTTCGTATATCTCAAGGTTTCCATGTGCTATGCATTTTGTGAGGTGTGTAGGCTAGTTAAGACAGTAGCCACACAACTACTTTGTAAAATCATCAAGTCAAATTCAGTCCTCCCCAAATAATATAATCACAGTTCATTATACAAAAAAAATATTCTTTTAACAAATAGTTCAATACTTTAAATCCTAGATCCTTACATCCCACCCTCCCTGAACGAACTCTGATTTACAATATTTTTCCCATGTTTTCTACAAAACTGTTCAATGGTGTATAAAAATCTACAGCATGTAACCGACTTAAAAAACATTTTCTCATCAGTATTTTATTCTAACAAGCGACCTTCCTCAGTTGCGCACATTCCACAGCCAACCAAAATATGGGAATTTCGAAATGAGGGCAGGCCATTGATACAATGCCATATAACCTCTGATTGGCTGAACTCAACCAATCAAATAGGCTGTAGCATATATGCTGCACCTTTTGTGGTTGGTGAACAACAGTTCAATAAAATGCAGCGTAATAAACAATTAATTACAGATGCAGGTATGGTTTAAATTGTTCTGGTGCTGAAAAAACAAACAAAAATCATGAAAAAAGCTGATAAAGAATCCAATTTTGTTCAACAACAATGTGAAAAAAACAAACCTGAAACAAATTTAAAATTCATAGTAAATAAAAAATACATCTGTGATAAAGAGTAAATGCTGTTTAAATGGGGAAAAACAAAACACACTTTTAAGCCTAACCCTCCATTAGAATCACCCCCACACCCTGGTAGCAGATATCTCATCTAATCTCCCATTTCATTTCAAGTATTTACAATTATTATTATTACAGTTTGCCAATAGATCACAATTTCTTTTGGCGAGCAAAACATAAAATGTTAGCACATTATAGCACACTCAGTTTCCAAGAAATATTAATTCAATTAGAATCATATTTAAATAAAATTAAAAAAAAAAAAATTATCACATGCCAATCAGAATGCCTGCTTGACGATACATTTAGCATTTGTGGAATATTTGTAGAATGAAAATCACTGCAAAATTCAATTCACAAAAAGCAAATGTGATTAAGAGGCTTTGTCTTTAGCAACACCATTTGAGTACCCAGTAAGCGTATACAAACAGCAAATCTGTTTTTTAAGCAAATTATTTACTGTGAATTATGTCCATCTATCAGCACCCAGTATGCAAATCTCACATTTGTGGCCACCAATCAGTATTATGCAGTAGTATGCAAATCACATGCAGACAGAAACATTTCTAGCCACCAATCAGCACCTAGTATGCAGACAGAAACATTTCTAGCCACCAATCAGCACATAGTATGCAGACAGAAACATTTCTAGCCACCAATCAGCACCTAGTATGCAGACAGAAACATTTCTATCCACCAATCAGCACATAGTATGCAGACAGAAACATTTCTAGCCACCAATCAGCACCTAGTATGCAGACAGAAACATTTCTAGCCACCAATCAGCACATAGTATGCAAATAAAATGTTTTTCGATTATCTATCAGCACCAGTAATTCTACAATAATTGAAAATCATGTGTCGATTTCCTCCAAATCACCCATGTTTTCATTGTTCGTGTCATTTTGTCCCTCAGTGTCATAATCAATCTGCGTTTCTTCTGTTCCGTTATCGTCCATTGTTGTTTCCTGGCCTGCATTTTCCTGCGATTCCAGCTCAGACAGCAAGGCTGTAGCCTCAGCTAATGTGTCTCTAGCGCTCTCAGTTCTCTGGAAAGTTTTACTTGATGACGAGTCATTGGAAACTGTCGAATGAGGACTCCAGTAATAGTCAGTCATCTGGAAAATGAAAAGACATATAAGAATGAATACAGAGGTCAAACAATTTCTCCATATAATGCATAGTTTTGAAAAAATTGCATATATTCTTGCAGATCCCTTAAGAAATAGGACACTTAAAAAAGTTACAACTTAATCAGCACTGTAACTGATGTAGAATATCGAGTAAGAGATGCAAGTACAAAAATTTCGTTAATATATATTTACTGGAAGTTTAGTAAAAGTCAAAAGACAGATTTTTTCACTTTTATTTGCCATGGGATTTATATGAATTCATGGGTGCTGAGATAAAAATATAATAAAACAGAAAGACATAGATTTGGTTACAGCCCTACCATAGTATGTATACCACAAAAAGTAACGCATTAACTAAGCTTAAACTTGACCTCTTAAATTCCCATTTGGTCACTGTTATTAGTAAACTGATGCAATCCAAAAAAATGGCATTAGACCTCACCTTTTTTTTGAGCCAGTTAACAGCCCACTGCCATCGTGTTGACGATTCCATCAGGTATTCCTTAGCGACAGTGCATTTATTAGCGAGTGTTACAAGAAATTTAAGACACTGGTATGCTCTTCTACTATCGTTGACATTTCCAGACCTGATTATAGCTATGTGAAAAAAAACAATGACATCAGCAGACAGACAGACAGACAGTAGAATACATAAAAGAAGGTTACATTGACATTTATCGTAAAAGCTTTTTATAATTAAACCTGATAATGTTGGTATGTAAAGTTACTAAAAGGCTCCCTCTCAGTATTATGCTGAAATGTATTAAATGTGGAGATTTAGTTTCATTTTTTAATAACATGAGCAGCCTCCAGGCTGAGATATATCTACTGTTAGCAATGCACATTTCAATTAAAAAACAGAAGATATCATTAGAAAATGAACAAATCTAGGAGAGGTCTACCTGAGGTGCCTACATGTATATTATCAAATCAATCAAACTTGCGGTTTTTTAACAAGAAGTCGAAAATATCACTTTTTACCGAAAATGGTAAAAATATTCATCAAAATTAGAGAATTGAAGATATCATCACGAAATAAACAAATCTGAGCGAGGTTTACCTGAGGTGCCTACATGTATATTATCAAATCAATCAAATTTGCGTTTTTTTAACAAGAAGTCAAAAATATCATTTTTTACCAAAAATATTCAACAAAATTAGAGAATTAAAGATGTCATCACGAAATGAACAAATCTAAGAGAGGTTTGCCCAAGGTACATATACACCAAGTATCAACGCAATAAGAATTGTAGTTTTCAAGAAGAAGTTGAAAAAGTAAAAAGTTGACACAGACAACCGACAATCACTCTCATGATAAGCTCTGCTCGACAATGTCAACATCGGAGCTAAAAAAAAACTGTTGCTAAATATGGAAAAGAAATAACAAAACAACAAAGATAAATCAGTAAATTTTATTTTAACTCTGGTCCTTGTATCGAGTGACAGGGTTTGGAATTGATAGCACTGTTAGATTGTTCAGAAGATTGATTCAGATTGAACTTTAAAATTGCAAGTAGTCTTATCATTGATATACTTCATTTGATTACCAGATATATGTTCCAATCCAAGTAACTGCAGAAAGCATTTTCTATATATACAAAACTACATATGACAAAGCTTGGTGACCATCTTACTAACAGAACTGCCGAAATTCCAAGTTCGACAACTGAATAGGCATGAAGTAATAAACTCGTGTGAACATTAAATTACTGTTGTCAGGACTGTAGCGCCTCACCTAGAAGTCCGTCATTTTCTGTGCCATCTATCGCCCATTTCAACCGATTAAGCTGCAAAGGGTCCTCTAGTAATAACAACTCCATTAATAAACTGAACACACTCTTGAGTTCATTGGCCGGAACTGCTGTGATTTGATTCTGAAAGTAAACAAAGTGAGATAGATTTACCAAAAATGTTCCAGATTGGTTATAAGGCATGGTCTGTAGTTGACAACAAATAAAGGTCGATGTGTCACTTTACAATAATGCAACTTATACATGGACTTCAAACAATATACCACTCCCTCTAGTGGCAGAAATGGATGTATTAAATGAACATCGTTCACAAGGACGGGACTGTAGGCTGTCAATGAATACACTGAATTATTTTTCGATTTCAAAATGATGAATTCCAAATGAAGCAACCAAACAGTGTTGTCAATTTGAAGAATTTTACTTTCATCAATCTACAACATTTTAGGCGTCTCAGGAGTGCTTCATTGCTGGAGATTGTAACATACAAGAAACATGCATTTTGAATTACCCAGTCACAATTCAGACTGACAATACATGCATCAATATAGGCCAGACTGCAACGATGAACAATGTCTTTGCATGACCCATTTGAATTACATTCTGTGTTGATCTAATATGTGGATGTTTAAGTGTCATTGCATGGCATTATATGGGTCTCGCATAATGTATCTATTGCAGGTAAAAATATTGTTTACCGGGTATTTACATAAAATTTAAATGTGTGTTCCATGGCATCTGTTGAGTATTAGGAGAAATGTCTGTTATAAATATCCTTTCATGGCGATACTTATGGCTTTATAGGAATTAACGACAATGGTTTTCCTGCAGCAATACAAGGACATTCTCCATATCTACAATGCTTGTGCATTCAATCACTCAGTAAACAAGATACATAGCCATTGGGTGATTTTCCATCACTAGTCTTAAACACAGTAACAATATGGCCATTTTGAACTGTCACTGACCAGCTCGTTAACAAGAAATCAATTTATGTTAAATTACCTTAATCATCATGAGAACACCAACGGAGAAACTCTCATTACAGAAACAGCAATAAAGCAAGACGTCTTCAATCACTGTCACTGGATTATTAACTTCCCGACACGCTAGCACCGCCTGTAACAGTGGAACATAACTGTAGATGATGAATCTATATAGTGCATATGGCTGGAGTATGAAAATTAAGGTCAAGTATTTTGCAGAACACTACTACAAGCCTATATTGGTTTGGATTGGTTAGTATATACTAGTAATAGGATGTTCCCTGATTGATTAGTTAGTTGCATGCCATAGTTGAATTTGAAGGAAAAGTCAAGCCAAATGACATAATGCTCCCAGATGAAAAGAGCTCCACAAATGTAGGAGAATGCAATTTACAGTTTTTTTTTATATCATTTTTCATTCTCCAGATAATCAAATATTGATCAGTATTATGTGGTCCGCCAGCTTGATTTTGCAGCAAAAGATTGTGGGCAAAGTACAACATCATATCCTCTGTTGTGAAAAATTCAGAAAATTGAGGAAAATTGATGTAAAAACTGTAAATTGCATTTTCTTATATTTGTCAAGCTCTTTCGTCTGGGAATATAATGTTGTTAGCCTTGTCTTTTCCTTTAAAAATATTCAAAAACACTTTATGCTAGAATACTCAGTGATACAAGTTTTTCTTTTTACCTCTCTGATGTACCGGTAAGTATCCTGTTGGAATAAAAGTACTTTCACTTGCTCAGGTAATGGTAATAGTGGCTGTGATTGTTTAGATATTCTAGGAGAGAATTCACCTGCATCTGAAAAAAGTGAAGTGTGATGGAAATTAATTCACTACAAACACAATTTGAATATTTTGGCAATTGCTATAAGGAATCTCATTTGCATAAATTCTGTTAAATATACAAGTCATGTACCTTATAAGGAATCTCATTTGCATAAATTCTGTTAAATATACAAGTCATGTACCTTATAAGGAATCTCATTTGCATAAATTCTGTTAAATATACAAGTCATGTACCTTATAAGGAATCTCATTTGCATAAATTCTGTTAAATATACAAGTCATGTACCTTATAAGGAATCTCATTTGCATAGATCCCATTCAATATTCAAGTTATGTACGTTATTAGGAATCTCATACAAGCTACTAACAAAGTACATGCCATTCATGGAAACAGCCTGAAAAGAGTTACCTTTAATTCTCTGTGACGAGATATCACAGTGTAAGACTAACACTGCCAAAGTAGAATGCAATGGGCCAAAATCTTTAGTTTGTGATGATGTCCATCTTCGTCTTGTTAAATCCTGATACAAAGAATAATACATGTAATGATAACAGCGAAAATAAATGATTCAAGTGCATATCGTAGTGGTTCCTTGGGTGTAATGCACTCAGTACTTGTAATTTGTACATAAAAATAGTTGAAAGTAAACAATCAATGTCTGAAACTGTTAAGTAAAAAGAAATATTTATGAAAAAACTTACATCATGTGCCACTTCCCTTCTCATACTTGAAGGAGGACCAAGTAAAAACATTAAAAGACGCCGGAAAGCATTTCGGACAAACAGATGTTTACATGCCTTCATTCCCTGTAAGAATAAAGAAATTTAAAAAAATTCAATGTTGTTTTCAATTTTTAAAACTGGTTTAACAACTACATTGTAATTAATGCAGCAAATATTGAATAGAACAATGAACCAAAGATCTGTACGTTTGTACATGTATGTTATATCCAGGTTATTGGTAACCAAAAAAATAAATATGTTAGACAACTATTAAAATCCTTACATACCGGATTCTGCCGTAAATTCGCCCAGGACTGTTAAACGGCAGTTCGGGTTTTAAAAGTAAAAAATTGGAACCAAGAAGCCGCCCAGGGCTTTTTTTCGGCAGTTTTTTAAGGTGTTATTTCAATTTTTTTTTGATGCCCAAAAGTTTTGCCGTAGTCACTGACGCCTATTCATAAGTATTGATGTTTATTACAGCGTGAATGGGTTAGCTTCGTTTCGACAATGAGTTGTTATCGCTGTAAATAATGTTAAATTATTCTTCAAATGCTCAGTTTATCTTTTGAAAACAACTATTTTTTATTTAAAAAATCATGCCACTTTCTCATCGAAATCCAAGCCAAAAGATCGTACAACAACATCGGCAAATCTCTTCCATGCTGGGTTCAATAACATTAACATATTTTGAACACGTTGGCATCATCCATCGTATTCATTTGTTAATTATCGATTTAACCTGTCAGGTCAGGTCAGGTCAAAACATGGCGGATATTCATTTCTACAGCATTGAGCGTTGAAAATGCGATTGGAATCATTCGCTTACGATGAAATAAGTTGAAATTTATTTGCATTTCATAAGAATTCAGCGAATTTATTTTTTGCACGTTATTATAATTTTTCGGATGGGCAAATTTTACGGCAGAATCGGGTAGTAATTTTTACCAACAATCATGACTACATGTATCATGAACAGATAAATTAGGGTCACCAAATTAGCTGTTATAAACCATGTAATGTAAAGTATATAATTTAACACTTAGTTTATGGTATGTTTCAACAATTTTTAATTACCATTGTTAATTGTTAATCTTCAAGATGGCGGATGTTTTTTTCAAAATGAAGCTTATAGAGAGAACTTTCAACAATTTTCAACATTTTCTTCATACACAAAACAGAGTGGAAAGATGTATTTTTTATAATAATAAAAGTAGTGTAAAATAGGCACTTGGTCAACATTGTACTGTTGTTTGTATATTTCAGAAGTCATACATGTACAGTAATAAAACATCTGTTCTGTGTAAACTAACCTGTGTTGTGGAAATCAATTATGACACAAACTGATTACAAAAAACAAAGTTTAAAGTAATATGCCAGAGACCTGTCACAATTTTTTTTTTGTAATGAAATTGCTGCACTAAGCACCCACCACCTTTAAAATCAAGATATTTTGAGTTAAGGTCAGTTGGTACAAGTACAGTATATAACATGGTGAATGTTTGTTGCTTTCTTCATATTTCAAGTATTGATATGTCAAGAGTCAATTGATTGAAATAAAGGCGTTCACGCTTACCATGTTGGCGTATACATTGATCAGCAGGAAATACTGGGTACATGTTTTGCAATTATCTGGGACATCCTTGTCAAGCATCAAGAGAAGAAACTCCATGAGATCATCAAATGACTTCACTGCGGAGTTACCACCATGATTGAAAAAGCACCTCAAAGTGTCTTCCAGAATTCGACAGAAGGACATCCGAACTTCACGTGTGGGGGATTCCAATAAAAATGGCCTGTTGAGTTAAAGATTTGTAATTGATATAATATATATATATAATTGACGGCATAAATGAGTTCAGTGTGGTATAGAAGAAATGTTTGTAAGAACAGCAAAACATAAACTGCCATGCAGCATTATACCTAGTATGGGTCTCTTAGTGTAAATAGAATTAATAAAGATATCATTCACACAAGACACAACATTTATATATTTTAATTCATAAAAGAATGAATACAACTAACATCATTTTACAGAAATTTCCTAAACATTTGCTTAGTTATCATTCTATGACACTAATTTTCTTAATGGCAAAAAAAAAATTAGACTCATTTGTATGTATTACGACCAATTTTCAATTAAAAAATGGTCACCCTAGTCGGTTTAGGGAAATGGCGAAATCACAAACACGCTGCGCTGTTTTATATATGAGCACAGATGTGTTCCTTACTTTATGTATGCATTGCCTTCTGGACTGGACAGGTATTCTATAAACCAGAAACATGATTTCTTACTCTGTGATACAATAGTATGTATAGTGCTGCACCATTCTTGGATATCTTGCCTGGAAATAAACGAGGAGTAAGCATCACAGAAACTGGTTTTAAGTCTGTTGTGAAGTGTATAAAGTAAAAACAGCAAGGTATACACACATAAAAAGCAATAAAAAAGAATTTGCAAGGCCCAGAACTCTCACCTGTCCCAGAAAATAATTAAATAAACATAAAAAATAAATAAAAATTAACATGGTACGCACCTAAGCTTCTTCTTGGTTCTAAAGTATGTGTTAAACAAGAATTGTACCGCTAATTTGAGACCACCCAGAGCCAACTCATCAAAATCACTGGAATCTGTATTTTTCTACCAAAATAATAACAAATTTATAAAATAAGAATTTATCCATTTCATAATGATATGCAACTAGATATCTACATGCATGTATGGTGATATTCTCATTCTATGAGCACAATATTTTTATATAAACAATAGCATCACATGCTTGGAAAAAGTTTGATGTATAAACAGAAATGAGTGAAATTATCACCAAATTATAAGCAAAAAAACAAGAAATCACTTTCAAAAATTTAAAAAAAAGGATATCCATTTTTGCACTGTCCAAAGGTGTCTGGAGTTACTGGCAACACACCACTATCATATTGCAAGGACCATTACAATACAATCAGCAGTCACAAATTCTTTCTATGCCAAGAAGTTTTAAAAATTATAAGAATAATATCTTGATTATTAGGACGTGTCCACCAAGTTGAAGATATGCCCCAAGAACCATCCACAGAAATGTAAAACAAGGTCTCACCAAATTACACCAAACAAGCTGCCTAACGAACTTGAAATATTCCACATTATGGACTCCTTTGTTCTTGATGTATCTGAGGTTTTCGGTGCGGACTTCCTGCTGGACACTAGCAGGCATCTTGTCGGTGAAGAGACCTTTCTTATCGCCTTTACGTACCAACTCGGTCAGCAGTGAAAGACCATCAGAGTCATGTCGCGGTGAACATTCAGGTGAACTGAGCTCAGACACTCTGTAGAACAAAGTTATGATGATCACATATTACCATGGTGACTATTTGCTACTCAATAACACTTTTGCTCAATTACAAGTGCATCTTTAAAAGAAGACGACATACATGTAAGCCGAAAATTACATGTATTTTAACTGCTGGATCAATAAAATATGACTTATTTTTTACCATAGACATAGCATTATCATTTACTTATATAACCACATGTGCTACCAATAAAGCAGTATTTTATTTTGAGTTTAATAAGCAGTTTAGTTGCCAGTGCAATGAAGCAAGAGAATACAATGGACAATTAAGAAAATAATTACAGTTAATTGTCATTCCTTTTCAGATTTTGCACTGCAGAGTGGGGTGCAATAATGAAAGCCAATTACCATTAAGGGTAAAAACATAATGAGAACCGAAACAATTTAATTTTTCTAAACTTAATTTGTTTTTGGTTAAAAACATGCATGTATAATGGTACCTTTGTTAAGATTCATCTGTAAATACTGTAATATGGTAACTTACACACGTATATCGCCCTCACTGTCTTGTTTAAGTAATGCAGCCCTTTGTTTTGGTGGGGGACGTCGCATGGATGTTTCAGGTGTCCTGATTCCCTCAGTTTTCTCGTAATACAGCATATACCCATTCCAATATCGCTGTCTTGTCTCAGGGTAGGAGTTCGCTGCAATAAAACATTGATTTCCATATTGATAACATCATACTCACTCCTACCACAAGTACATTAACGCAGTGCCATACCAGTAATGTAACATAGAACAGATCACCAACTTGTGCTTTAAACACCTAGTAATTCCGTTCTGCATGAGACCAGCGTACAGAATACAGCACCAAATTTATTAGTTAAATTACACAAAAAGTTACATAATCTAGTTCTTTCCATAGTAGTATTGGAGTACAAAGTAGCACAGCTTACAGTATCAGTGTATCACTGGTTTTTTTTCACAAAATTTGCAATTTGTTAAATGTCTGAATTGAAATAAACTCATACTCACATTGATCATAGACCTTAGCTCTGTATGTTCCACCAAAACACTCCGCTTCCACCGAGCCATCATTCATGTCAAATTCCTCTACTATGGTGTCATTGAACTTGAACCATTTTCCTTTTGTCGCATTTGTCATGGACGTGCCCCTGATAATGATTTAATAGATACTACCGATAAATGTCATGATTTGTTGAACCCTTGTTACTATAGTGACTAATGTACTAAATAATCTTCGTCCTCAAACTGTCAGTTGGAGTGGGGAGGGGGCTAACATTGGGATGTGGGATTGTAGCAAGTGCACTGAAACCAAATGAAGGAAGGAAAATGCTGAAAAGAGTTGGAGGAACTGCAGTAGCATCCCCCCACCCCAGGCACTCCCAACTACACAGAAACTCATAACTCATTAAATAGCACAAATGTTAAACAGACTGAAGACAAGCAGATGCAAAATGGAATTCTAGCAATAGCAAAAAACAAGGAAATCATGAAAACAAAGTCAATGTATTGATACAAATTTTACACAATATCTTACCATTATTGGTGGAAAGAAAAACAGATAATTTGAAAACAAAATTATAGTATTTCACCAATCTAATTGTAGTAGAAGTGGGGGTGTTGCAAATTGATGAAATGAAAGACAAATAATTTTAAAGTATAGAGTCACATGACATTGATTAACCAATCATAGCAAGCGTCACCTACCTTCTATCTCTGATGAATGAATAATAATGTCCAGCATTAGCCTGTCCGCTGTGAACGACAATACCAACCAACTGATACAAGTCATCATACGACGCTGCCTTGAAAGCTTTTATACTTTTTTCTTCCGTTTCATTGTTATTATCATTTTCGACCTCTCTCCTGGCAACTCCTTCCACTGTGTAAGGCTCCATGTCAAGTACCCATGGAAACTAGACAAAGCAAAAACAGATGTTAGTTTCATGTGCAGGCGTCTCTTATTCAATATATTGAACCTCTGTGAAAGCATATACTAGTAACTGTAAAAATACTTTATTTTAGCTGAAATTAATTTTCGCTGAAAAGACTTTTTGGGTGTTTTGTATGGAATTTAATTTCACTGATTTTTGATGAGTTGAATATAATATATTTGCAGGTATATTCAGCCAAAATAGCAAAAATAAATTCCAAAAGAAAATGTATTTTTGAGTAATTACAGTGGGTGCCAAAATAAACTGATTAGAAAAATATATGTTGTCCTATATATTACCCTTAACTTAGTGTTTGTTTGTTATGACTTTGAAAACTCAACACCTAACATTTAAATGTAGCACCCCTGGACACAACCAATTTCACGCTGGGTGCTGGGTGGTAAAAATTGTATACACACTTTGTTTTTTCATTTCACTCTTAAAAATTTAATTAATGGCTGTAAATATGGTGGAATATCATGAGACATTGTCATTCGTATTAAAATTACAACCATGAACTACCACTACCTCTGTACACCAATATTCTGAACCACACTGCAGATGGCACTCTGTTGACGGTTGATTTTATGAGTGATGTTACTCTGTGAGAAATGTTTTCAAGCAGATTTCGAGCAAAGGAATTGTGTGAAATGTTAAAATGATGAATTGTAAATTCTTGAACACAATGAATTATTATTTGAGGACAAAAATGGCCGCCAAGCAGTGAAAATTCATTCAATCAAAAAATAACTTGATGTGCACCTGTACACCATTGAATTCCTGTCTCTGTACCAACTCTGAACTAAATTGGATGACACATGTGTGAGAAATAGCTGGTAATGCATACATGTATATGCACACACGGACGCACTGACACACCTCAATTTATAAGCCCCCTCCGAATCCCAGATCCAGCAGGGGCTAAAAAAAAACAAGCCATGCATGGAACAGTCCCTATTAGAAGTATTCATGGTCAGTTTATTTTGGTGTCCATTGTAAAAACACCCAGGTTTAGATTCATTAAATGTATTATTATATATTAATATTTCTTACCTGAAAATAGTCGTCAAACTTAAGTGCTCTATTTGCCTCCCAATCATAGCC